GAAGTCCGCACCGACATGACTCCGTCCTCAGAAGCGTGCCATGGCCTTACACGATTAATTCTGATTCCTGCTCCCCAACCCCGCCCCCACTGCCGCACCCACAAGAAAAATAGAGCAGTATTTTCTCGTTACATCCAAGAACTGGGTGATTTTTCACCAGCAAGTCTTTCATAGTCACACTAAGTCTAAATTTATACCACCCAGTGATCTACGCCGGCATACTCCTGTTACACATCACTTTACAGTGAGAATGATGGATTGAACTGCAGTGTAGCACTATAATGACAGTGTGGAGGTGTGAGTGAGTAGTGCCAGGGTGTGGCTGTGTGTGTACCAACACACCCGCCATCACTCTCACAGTATTGTTTTAGAGCACATACACCCGGCTACAAGGTAAGTATATTTAAGAACATTCCATATATATATATATATATATATATATATATATATATATATATATATATATATATATATATATATATATATATATATATATTGTTAGTAAATGTTATATATATATATATATGGGCCAATAGGCTCTTTGCAGTTACTTCCATTCTTCCCTTTAACTTACAAAATATTATACCCATTGTTTCGTGTTCTGTCTTGTGTTGAAAGTTTGTTTTCACCTCATCCAAAACTGTTGTAACATATCACCTCACCCAAATGCAGGTATAAAAAATCGAAACTGTTTAAATTCAACTAAACTAAAGTCTTTGAAAATGTAATAAGTTTTACGAAACGCGCTCAAGTGTCGCGTCAGACTAGAAATAAAAATGAATTTTGGAGAATTGATTTTTCAGTTACCATCAACAGTGAAAAAAAGAAAATAAATCTAAGAAACATTGAGAAAATTCGTGTTAGAATTATTAATCTTACTTTTTCGGTCATATTTAATAATATATGTCTACAGGAAAGACTGCTATCAAAATATACTAACACATATATATATATATATATATATATATATATATATATATATATATATATATATATATATATATGTCGTACCTAGTAGCCAGAACGCACTTCTCAGCCTACTATGCAAGGCTCGATTTGCCTAATAAGCCAAGTTTTCATGAATTAATATATTTTCTCTAATTTTTTTCTTATGAAATGATAAAGATACCCAATTCATTATGTATGAGGTCAATTTTTTTTTTATTGGAGTTAAAATTAACGTAGTTATATGACCGAACCTGACCAACCCTACCTAACCTAACCTAACCTATCTTATAGGTTAGGTTAGGTTAGGTTAGGTAGCCGAAAAAGTTAGGCTAGGTTAGGTTAGGTAGGTTAGGTAGTCGAGAAACAATTAATTCATGAAAACTTGGCTTATTTGGCAAATCGTGCCTTGCATAGTAGGCTGAGAAGTGCGTTCTGGCTACTAGGCACGACATATATATATATATATATATATATATATATATATATATATATATATATATATATATATATATATATATATATAGGTCGTATCTAGTAGCCAGAACGCACTTATATGCCTACTATGCAAGGCCCGATTTGCCTAATAAGCCAAGTTTTCATGAATTAATTGTTTTTCGACTACCTCACTTACCTTACCTAACCTAACCTAACTTTTTTGGCTACCTAACCTAACATAACCTATAGAGATAGGTTAGGTTAGGTTAGGTAGGGTTGGTTAGGTTCGGTCATATATCTACGTTAATTTTAACTCCAATAAAAAAAATTTGACCTCATACTTAATGAAATGGGTAGCTTTATCATTTCATATGAAAAAAATTAGAGAAAATATATTAATTCAGGAAAATTTGGCTTATTAGGCAAATCGGGCCTTGCATAGTAGGCCGAGAAGTGCGTTCTGGCTACTAGGTACGACATATATATATATATATATATATATATATATATATATATATATATATATATATATATATATATATATATATATATATATATATATATATATATAGTTTTTTCTGTAAGAATTCGATTGAAGAAACTATTACAGCATTGTTATCTTCAACTAGACTTTAGATTTATTTTTGTCAATACTAATACCATAGGCACCGTTTTAAAATTTAAAGATAAAGTGCCTACCCCCTTTACTCTAGTATCGTATAATCGTATATGTTTATAATTGTTCCAGCTGTAATGCTGGATATATCGGGAGTTCCATTCGGAACTTTAAGATTAGGATACTTGAGCACCGGGGAGTATCTTTCAGGACTGGATTACCATTATCCAAACCAGCATCCTCGGAGATTAAAATTCATTGTCATGAATCGAATCATTCTCTGCTGGAATCCGATTTTAGAATTCTAGACACTTGTATGAATGGCCAGTCGGATTTGCGAATAATGGAAGCTTTGTATATTAGGGAGCTGCGGTGTCTGATAAATAACCGCCTACCGGCTGTTCAGTTATAGACTGCATAATGCACAGTAGGCCTTGTATTTTGATTTAAATTTATGCTGGCGTTTTTTTATTTTTTCTTTAGTCATTCATGATTTGTCTCTTCTTACTTATTTCAAGTGTTGACATTGTATATTGTTATAGTTGTTTTAATTAAGATGTACAATAAATTTTTGATGTTTAGTTTTGTTCGTTATGTTTTTTTATAAGGTTTTGGCTAATATTTTACAACTGTTTTCTATTTTGCTTATGATTTATATTCATTTCTTGTAAGTGTGTAATCATTATAACAAGTGTTGTATTAGCGTTGATTATCCAAGTATTAATTATAAAGCTCCACTTCGTTTGATCACTTCACGTAAGTTTAACAGTGTGGTTTGTTTTATTAATTATTTTTATTAATAATTTTTGAATTAGTTTTTATTATCGATGTGACAGTTCTAATTTTTTTTTTAGTTTTGATCACTTCAAGTAAGCTTAAGTGTTTTGTTTTATAACCAATGTCGCTTGATATCTCTTTTCTTCTGATTGGTAATTTTATTCAGTATGAGTTCTTTGTTTGCTAGTTATTTTATTGTGACTTCTGTTTTTCTTGTAGATCTGATGAAGAATACGAGAAGTATTCGAAACGTCATTCTTTTTAAAGTAAACAATCTGAAACAAGTTATGCTACAATTTATGCAGAAATCAATATATTTTATATATCGGCAAGTATTTTAAACCGAATATAATTATTTTCAAAGGCCATGTGATATAACATATTTTGTTTACTTGTCAGTGTGCTTTATATATAAATTTAAGGTTGAAAACTAAGTTTCAGGTATCGTGACTGATACTGCATGATATATAATATCAGGTATAGTGACGGGTATAGCGTCAAGAATAGTGAAAGGTATTACGTCAAGTATAGCGACAGATAGCGTCAGGTATAGTGACAGGAATAGCGTCAAGTATAGTGAAAGGTATTGAGACATGCATAGCAACAGGTCAGGTATAGCGTCAGGAATAGAAAGTTATAGAGTCAGATATAGTCGGGTATAATTCATATATAACGACATTTATAGAGTATGATAAAGCGTCATGTTTAGCAAACAGGCATGGAGTCAACTAATGAGTTAGGTAGAGCATCAAGTATAGCGTCAGGTATAGATTCAGTTTACACAACCAGATATTATGTCAGGTATTAAGACAGGTATATCATCATGTAGAGTCAAGTATAGAGGTATACTGACAGGTACAGTCAGATATAGATTCATATCTATCATAGATATACCTCATTCATATACCTCATAGCATCAAGTATAATCAGTTAGAGCTTCTGATATAGTCGGGGACGATATATAAACTAATATTTACAAAGGAAGCTTTTTTTATTCAAATCTCAAGCCGTAGAAAAACACATTATTTACATCTGCAGTAAAAAATATATTATATACCTGTATCTTACATGTCGGTTCATGCAATAATGGAAAGGTTCACAAAGGCGAAAACAATCCGTATGAACTCAGACATTAAACCTTAGCATTAAGGACACGAGTCAAACTGCTCTGTAACTACACTTAACAAGTTACTAAGATATAGAATAATAATTATGATTATAATAAACAATATAAATTACAACAGGTTTACAATGTCAATCAAAATAGCCTTGGTGATAATACTTTTTTATAACAAACAGGAATCATAATATCACTGGTAAAAATAGAAATGAAATGATTAATAATTATAATTAAAATGAAAATAATATAAAAAATAGTAATTATATAAATAATTTAACTATCTATGAATTAATTATGGCTATAATAATAAAAATAACAATAATTGTAATAACACTAATATTAGATAAAGTTATAACAATAAAAACAACAGTATTAATGTAATAAAAAATAATGAAAGAAAATAACTTAAAATCGCAATAATGAAATTAACTACGAAAGTAAATAAGAGCAAAAATTAGGAACAGAAGAAAGTGATATAATAAAATATACATTTTGTCGAACAGAAAACATTGTCTCCAGATTTCTCAATGAAAGAATCACGAAAAGATTAACAAATATAAATGCCAGTCATGTGATATGTAAAAAAAAAGTTGTCAAACACAGAATGTCAAAGGAATATTAATATCATCAGACTTACTTTTTAATGTCACAGATAACATGACAGTCGTTTTCAATCAGCGCGTATCAAACGTCTTGATATTAAACCTATATTCTTGATCAAATATATATTTAACTCTATGTACTATGACTAACAATTTTCTCAATATTACCAATATTTTCTTCTCTGCAAATAAGTTGATGTCGACCTTGGTGCCAGATGTCACAGCATGAGAAACACATTCAAGAAACCATAGTAAAATGTTTTCAGGGTTCACTTGTAATTTTTTTTTATATTTTTTCACAAATTGTAATGTATACAAAAAAATTATTACATTATATGGCACCTTCTAACAGAGCTTATCAAACGTTTTATTGACTGCTCAGGCCGCCTATAAGAACAGTGTTTTAGGCTATACAGTACTTATATTATATATATATATTTATATATGAAAGAAAAAAAAAAAAATATATATATATATATATATATATATATATATATATATATATATATATATATAATATAATATAATAAAACTGGAAAGCAACACACACGACGAAACGTTGACAGGTCACTTATGACAATTTTCTTTGCCAGTTGACATGATCGATATTCTCTGGTGGCACAATATGGCACAATAGACTAGCATCGCACAAGGTGGCGGTTCTGTGTGTGTGACTTGTGGAATGTTGCACACCCCAAGCAGTCATCTCATTGTGTTCAAGACTTGGTTGCTTGTTAAGTCCCTTCCTTTGCGCGTATACTTTTAGTCAGAAAGGGACAGAACTACCTGACTAGGTACACACATACACACCATAATTCACTACATGAACGCCTTATGATAGATACACACGGTGTCTCGCGTCTCCAAACCGAGTAGTGTTAGCTAAGCAGGTCAGAACACTCTCATAGAAATAATTATTCGCATCACATATTGAACGCATTCTTTTACCTTTCTTGCTGGAGACAGCAATGTAGAGAAGGACGACTTCTATTTTGATAGGAAATCAAACACAACTCTCAGTCATGTTGAAAGTACTAGAGTGAACTACACAGCTCTGTGGTAAAGACGAGCGTATCTTTCTCGGCCCCCAGAAGGATGTCAAAGGGGTCAGGGATGGAGAAGGTTGGTATGTCGTGAAAAACATCCAAGTTGTCTTCCAGTAAACACGAGTCGTCAGAGAGAAGGTCCTCGAGATCGCTGGCACTATCTAGCGAACCCCGCACTGTCGAGGGCGAGCTAATAGTGGATGAATGATTGGAATTGGAGTAATAACTCGAGAATTGAGACGCCTGAAGGAGAAACTGCTGGCTGAAGGGTGGCGTAAAGTGCTCGTAGCGGAAGGAGTTAACGGAGGCTTCCTGGGGGGCTATAGTCTTGCAGAAGGACCGCTCAAGCGACTGCTGGAGGGAGTTCTGGAATGAACATTCGAGTGAGCTCTGAAGAGAAGAGATGTCATCAACACTTTCATCCTCCAGGACGTGAGACAGAGCCCTGATGTAGTTCACAGCGAGGCGCAGAGTCGTGATCTTGGTCATGGACGACGAGGCTGCTTCAACCTCTACTACGTCAGGAAGAACCTTGCGAAGTGACTCGAATGCGTTGTTTATTTCCTTCATACGATGGCGTTCCCTGGCGTTGGCCGTCTTCCTGCGGTACTTTGACAGAGGCGCGGGTCTCGCCTTGGGCCTCACCGTCCTCTTGGGCACCTCCTGACGAACCCTCTCCTGCTGCAGCCTCTTGATGATGGTCCTTGGACGCAGGCCATACTTCTCCTCGGAGCTGGAGTTGGTGGTGGAGGAGCGGCGAGGCCGCTGCTGGTCCAGCTCCGCCCTCTGGTGTCCGACCCGCTCCATCATCTCCCTCACTGCACCACCGCCTCCCGGGAACACTATTTCTCACCCGTTGAAATCACTTCAACTTTGTCACCAAGTTTATTATTAACGCTTTCGATTCACTAAACAGTACAATGTTTACTTACAATTTTTTTCTTTTTACAAGATAAACCAAAAAATGTCAATGTGCGGGGAACACTGCGTAGCTTCCAGTCAAATCCCAATTCACTCCTTCAAAAGCAAGTGGGTCATAAAGGTTTATTCCTCCCGGATGTTGCCGCAAGCGGGCTCCCCACACTTCCTCTTCGCACTGGGAAAATATATTCCCTAATTTGGAATAAAGTTCGTCTGCCTGTCGGTGGACGCCAGCAGAGCAGTGATAGGAAGCGCCTTGCAACTCATGGGAAATGTTCTCGTGCCGCAAATAGACGTATAAATAGTGCGAGTTGAAGAAAATTTGTATCAACTTTTCTACTGGAGTGAGGACACTAGGAGCAGGAGCGTCCTCCGCCAGTCCCGAGTTGTGTGTGTGCTGTCGGGGTGGGTGCCGGGGGACCACTGATGACCAGTTCACCTGTTGCCCCCGACCACCCCTCCACACGTGCCCCCGACTATGACGCCACAATTCGCTAGTTGAAACTTTCGCGATGCGTCGCAGCTGAGACTTAAAGCTTTAGATATTACGCAAACATTATTATCATTTGTAAAGCCTAAACAACAGGATAACAAATTTTGTATTTTATTTCCCATACCTGATCATTAATTAACATTAATTGAGAATGGCGTTAAGCTGTAATTCCATGTAGGCGGGACCGCGCGTGGCGGGCGGTGTGGGGCAGAAACACTGAGTTGGGCTCAGTACCGTCTGGGCCTTCGGTAGAGGAGGGTGTGTAAGAACTCCTTTGCGCGATGTTTCTCAGTTATTCTTTGTTTGCATATCGGTAAAAAAAAAATACTAACATCTCGTGAATATCGACTACAAGTGATATATGATGAATTAAAATAAAATACTTTTTAATTACAAGCAGACTCCTACTATTATAACCAAGATATTCAGCAAATAATCACACCAACATTCCCCAAATTCATTAACATACACTAAGTAAAAATGATTTGTGTGTTCAATAGAAGCCATACGTACGAAATATTTTTTTTTGCACCACAACATGAGAGGTTGCAACAACACATGCAAGATTTAACACAACATGAGAGGTTGCAACAACACATGCAAGTTTTACCACAACATGAGAGGTTGCAACAACACATGCAAGTTTTACCACAACATGAGAGGCTGTTATAACACACGCATGTTTTACCACAACATGAGAGGTTGCAACAACACATGCAAGTTTTACCACAACATGAGAGGTTGCAACAACACATGCAAGTTTTACCACAACATGAGAGGTTGCAACAACACATGCAAGTTTTACCACAACATGAGAGGATGCAACAACACATGCAAGTTTTACCACAACATGAGAGGTTGTTATAACACATGCAAGTTTTACCACAACATGAGAGGTTGTTATAACACATGCAAGTTTTACCACAACATGAGAGGCAGTTATAACACATGCAAGTTTTACCACAACATGAGAGGCAGTTATAACACATGCAAGTTTTACCACAACATGAGAGGCTGTTATAACACATGCAAGTTTTACCACAACATGAGAGGCTGCAGCAACACATGCAAGTTTTACCACAACATGAGAGGCTGTTATAACACATGCAAGTTTTACCACAACATGAGAGGCTGTTATAACACATGCAAGTTTTACCACAACATGAGAGGTTGCAACAACACATGCAAGTTTTACCACAACATGAGAGGTTGTTATAACACATGCAAGTTTTACCACAACATGAGAGGCTGTTATAACACATGCAAGTTTTACCACAACATGAGAGGTTGTTATAACACATGCAAGTTTTACCACAACATGAGAGGTTGCAACAACACATGCAAGTTTTACCACAACATGAGAGGTTGTTATAACACATGCAAGTTTTACCACAACATGAGAGGCTGCAGCAACACATGCAAGTGCACTTCAACAAGGACAAAAGACGTGAATAAGAAGATCTGAGATAAATGCACTAAACTCACACACACAGATCAAATAAAAACTTCAAAACTTATTCAAAATACATTAGCATTGAAACAAATATTAACACAAAACACTCCGCAGAACAGTGAAAAACTCTGATACTAAAACACTGTAAAATGAATACATGAAATGTGCAGGAAAAATTCTAGTTCCACAAACACATATCTGCACAGTAATTTCTTGAATTTATATAGGAATTATTATGAACATTGATATCCTCGCTGTTATTTGATATCTTGTCTCTTTCTTGACATCCCCTGCCTTTCTTGACATCCTTTCTCTTTCTTGATATACTCAGTCTTTGTTTATAAACGCGCTCTTTCTTGATATCCCTCTCTCCTCGATGTCCTCATTTTTTCTTGATATCATTACTCTCTTGATATTCTCTCTCTTGATATTCTCTCTCTCTTGATATTCTTTCTTGATATCCTCTCTCTTTCGTTATATTCTCGCTGTTTCCTGATATATTTATCCTCGATTTTCTCTCTCTCTTGATATCCTAGCGCTTTTTTTATTATTTCTCTCTTTATATCCTATATATTTCTTGATTTTCTGTCCGTTATATCCTTTCTCTTGATATCCTATATATTACTCGATTTCTATTTATATCGCTTCTCTTGATTTCCAATTTATTTTTTTATCATCTATCCATTGATATCCTCTCTCTCTTGATATCATTTTCCTTTCTTGATATCCTCTTCTTTTCTTGATATCCTCTTCCTTTCTTATCATCCTCTTCTTTTCTTGATATCATCTCTCTTGATATCGTCTCTCTTCGTTTCTCTTGATATCAACTCACTTTTTTAGATCTTCACTCATGATATCATCCTCTGATATCCTTTTTCTCTATATGTTTACGTTTTCTTGATATCATCTCTCTTGATATCATCTTTCTTGATATCATTTTTCATGATATATTCACTCTTTCTTGATATCATTTCTCATGATATATTCACTCTTTCTTGATGCCATCTCTTTTTTAGATCTTTACTTTTCATATCCGTTCTCTTGATATATTCTCTCCTTATTGATATAATATATCTGGATATTGCCTCTCTCTTGATTATCGTCTATGTGATATCATCTCTCTTTTTAGATCTTCACCCTTATTATCCTTTCTCTTGATATATTCCTTTTTGATATCTCGTTTTACATCCTCTCTCTTAGATATCTTGATATCGTCAGTTTTTCTTGATATCGTCTATGAATGTTTTTATTCTCTCATTATATTCTCTCGTGATATGCTCTCTTCTGATATCCACTTGATATCGTCTTGCAGTATCTATCTTCTCTATAGATATCCTCTCAGTTTTCATACCCTCTCTCTTTTGATATACTCTTGATATCTTCTTGCTGTTTTATATCTTCTCTATAGATATCCTCGCAGTTTTCATACCCTCTCTCTTCCTGGATATTGTTTTGCTTGACATCCTCTCTTTCAATCTTCATATCCTCTTTCCTGATATCATCTGTTTCTATCTTGATATTCCCGTTCAATCTTTATATCTATCTCTTCGTATCCTCTCCTTTTCTCCAAATCCTCATCTTTTGATATCCCTTTTTAATATCTATTTTGATATCTTTCCTCCTGATATGCACTCTTTTTCTTCATATATTCCCTATTTATATCCACTCTTTTTCTTGATATCCTCTCTTGATAACTTCTCTTGTGAGACACTTTCTTTTGATGTCCTTTTCTTTGTTTTCTTCGCTTTTGATATTTTGTTTCTTGATATCCCGTTTCTTGAAGTCCTTTCTGATTATTGATATCAACTTTCTTGATAGCCTCTCTTAATATAAACTCTCTCTTGATTACTATTTCTTAACATGATCTCTCTTGATATCCTCTTTCTTCAAATTTTCTTGCTTAATGTCTCCTCCTTTCTTCATATCCTAGCTATGGATATTATCGTGATATCCTCGCAAATAATATTATTTTTCTTTAATATATTCATCTTGATATCGTCACTTTTGATACTCATCACTTTCTCGATATCTCCTCTAATTCTTGATATCCTTTCTGTTAATATTATCTCTCTTTCTTGATGTTCTCTCCCTCTCTTCATATCGTCACTCCTGATATCATCTCTCTTAATATTATACCTTTTGAAATCCTCTCTCTTGATATTCCCTCTATATCGCGATATCCTCTCCGCTAATATTCTCTTTCTTTGTTGATATCCTCTCTCTTACTTGACATTTTTTCTCGATATCCTTGTATAGTGATTGTTGTGAGCCTCTTATTAAATCACTTGTGATACAAAAGATTTTTGATGTGTGTATTTGTATAGATGATTGTATATGTATGTGTATATATATGTACAAGTATGTATGAGTATGTGTACATGTATATATAACATTAAAAATTGTGTAACAAGCGTCAAAAGATTGCATTTGTTTAACTAAACGAACTAGAGGGTTCAGTTCCTGAACCGATCATGTGATTCTGTAACCCTTTAGACCGCCCACGGGATGGGTATGGGGTGCATAATAAAGAAAGAAATTGAAATTATGTCTATTCTTCATCCTCTTTTCGTTCTCTTTATCCTTCTTTCACCCTAGCAATTCTTGTTCATTTGTGATCCTCTCTCTTTATCAATTCTATCCTCTTTTTTATCCTTAGTGTTCTTATATTGTTTTTACTTGCTCTCTTTAATATATTTCTCTTCGATATGTTTTCTCTTTTCTCCATATTCTTCCTTATCTATCTTTATTCTTCATTATCAATCTTCATTCTTCTTTATCTATCTTCATTCTTCGTTATCTATCTTCATTCTTCATTATCTATCTTCATTCTTCATTATCTATCTTCATTCTTCATTATCTATCTTCATTCTTCCTTATCTATCTCCATTCTTTATTGTCTCTAAGTTTTGTTTATCTCTCTTTATCTGTCCTGCTCCTAGATGATGTTTATGTAGGCTGTTGTGATGTTCCATGTTCCAAGTATACTGCTGAAGTCATCCTATGGCCTCTGAGGTTGTATTTGCTGCTTCTGATGTTATCAGGCCCTTAGCTGTCTGTGGGAAGGGGGAGGGGGGTCCACCGGGGGGTGAGTCCACAGGGGGGTGAGTCCACCGGGGGGTGGGTCCACCGGGGGGTGGGTCCACCGGGGGGTGGGTCCACCGGGGGGTGGGTCCACCGGGGGGTGAGTCCACCGGGGTGGGTCCACCGGGGGTGAGTCCACCGGGGGGTGAGTCCACCGGGGGGTGAGTCCACCGGGGGGGTGGGTCCACCGGCGGGTGAGTCCACCGGGGGGTGAGTCCACCGGGGGTGAGTCCACCGGGGGGTGGGTCCACCGGGGGGTGAGTCCACCGGGGGGGTGGGTCCACCGGCGGGTGAGTCCACCGGGGGTGAGTCCACCGGGGGTGAGTCCACCGGGGGGTGGGTCCACCGGGGGTGAGTCCACCGGGGGTGGGTCCACCGGGGGG